GTGGCCTTCTACCATACAAAGAATAACCTTTTTAATTCCTATGGGATTATAAATGAAAGGTAAACTATAGGGAAGCAATCAGTTAGTCTGAGAGACTGTCACTTTTATATTGCCACACTGGACAAACTGATTGCACTCAATTAAATCCATCTGATACCATCCATGTATCCCAGCGTAGAAAAGGAGATCTTCAGAGGCTTTACAGTATTCAGAAAGTGTCAGATCACTGTTCATCTGAGAAAGGTGGAAGCATCCCTTCTCCTCCAAAAAGATAATATTTCAGCCAAGTCTGATTATTCAGTTGCTGAGTCAATGAAGTAGATAGAGCCCAAAGGTTACAGTCCTTTATGAGAGATCTCACTCAAGTGGGTTTTTTACTCCATATCTGCTGCTTCATAACAATGTTGGTACGTGAAATTAGAATAAAATGATCACCTGCTTCTTCCTTCCATCTCCCCCAAAATTATTGATCTAGTCTGCTGTTCGATACAGAGTATTATAATATTTTTAAAACATTGCTTTTACTGACATGTTGTGCAAAGAGGATATCTGGGAACTTTTTGTGATGGCCACAACAGCACCTGTAATTGGGAACTATATACAGTATTTCTGATAATGCTGCAGTTCCAGGGCAGAAGAACTATGAGAATCACAGGTATCCAAAAGTTATATTCTGTATCTGCTGCAATAGAGAGAAGGTTTATTTCAATCCCAGTCCTGCTTTGACAGGGAGCATGGTAAATTGGCAAATTGGATGAGCATGTCAAATTGGAACCATTAGAAGTGGACTGTTACTATGGAGTGAATTGTCCTTCATACCTTTGCTGGGATTGGTAATCCGTATAAAATTCAATGTTTTGGTGTTGTGTTTCTCCTCAGTCAAGACCTACCTTCTTTAGCTGGAAGTTACCTGAGTTTTTTTTATATGCCTTGGAAATGAAGTGTGTTGTATAAGGAAGTCTGTCTGTAGCCATGTTATGGAAGCTGGTATGGCTAAACATTTGTAGCCAGGGACAAACATAAATAGGCTTTTAGACCCTCTGAGAAGTAGAGGACATTTTGGCTCTTCCGTTGAGAGGACAGCAGTGAATAACAGGTAAAATTCATCTTAGCTGTGAGCCAGCATGTATCATATGCCCACATTCCCTATATGTCCTATTTTGGAGAGAGTGGTAGGATTTACATGTTGCATAGGCCTCTCTGCATAGCAATGCAGTTTGCTGTAGAAGTGGGGGGGGGCTACTTGATTTAGCGTGGGAGTGACTACAATGTCCCCTAAAAGTAGGTGGTGTTTTTTTGTGAAAAGAGCCCATGAAGGTAGTGCACAAAACACAAGAAACTTTTCTGAGAAGGCAAGGAAAGAAAGAGTAGAACTTGTAGTATTGTGCAGTATGTCAGAAAAATACCGTGTCAGTACCTGTTTTGAATTGTAACCACATTTGTCACATTACCACATTTACCCAAATCCAAGACAACCCTGAATTTAAGACAATCCCTCAATCATTAGATTCTATGTATGGAGAATTTATACATTTGTTATAATTTTCTCTGTACAGAAACTAATTATTGGAAGGTCATCTTAAATTTGTTCCCACTGCTGCAGCAGGAAAAGCAGTAGTAATGAGGCAGTTGGGGGCACATGGTAGGATGGCAGGGAGTGGGGGAGGCAATAAGGGAGCAAGCAGTGGGGGAGCAATGGGATAGGCAGTGGGGGGAGTAGGTGGTAAGGGAGCAGGCAGCTTGGAAGTGGGGGGCAGGCAGCTTTCCCTCTGCTGCCTCCCTCCCCCCCCACTTGCCCTCCCGTTATGCCTGGCATCCTGCAGCCTTGAGCTCCCTTTTTACCCCTCCCCTCCCCTTGCTGAGCCAGCACTGCTGCTACAGGGCCAGGTTGGGGGCCATGCTCTGTGCCCCACGCTGGAGCAGGGACGGAGCCTGCTGGCATGGAATAAGAGTGGAAGTCCTGAAGCTGTGGGGGGAGTGGGCTGCACAGATAGTGTCGGGGAGAGATGGAGGAGGAGAGAGGTCCAGAGGCAGTAGGGGAGGAGGCTGGCAGCAGCTGCAACTCTAGCCCCAAACCGGGGTCGAGGCCACAGCCAAGCTTCAGCAGCTACCACTTCTCCCCCTACCCCTTCCCCCCCGCCTCCTACTTGACTCCTAAAGAACAGACTTTTCCCACCCATATGAAATGAAGGGGAAAAAACCTTGTCTTGAAATCGGATAAGTACCATACTTCTACTTGTATGTTTACCAAATGCCTCACCAATATCTCTTTTGTACAAAGTGTCCAAGATTGGACCAATAAAAATAACTTATAAACTATTACTACCTCTTACATTATTACCCAGTTGTTTGGATTTTTTTCCCCGATTGATAAAAATACGTGCTTTAAAAACATTTAAAAAGAGATTGATTTGTGCAAAAATAATCCATCAATTCATGCCTGAAAACTTTATTCAACTTTATGGGTAGGTAACTTGCAAGTTCAGCGTACTTTGCATTTCCAGGTAATGGAAATAGCAACGTGGCTGTAAAAGGGCAGATTTCCAAAGCAGCAACAATGGAAGCACCTGCACAAATGTGTATGCACCTGTTAGACATAAAAACCCCTGCAACTGTGCAAGCAAATCTTTACATATAATTGCCTGGTTTTTATGCAAGTAATGTGGCTGGGGCCTAAGCCTGAGCTAATTCACTTTTATGAAAGTCATGCTTCAATGCAGGAAGTCAGAGATTTATATTTAAAGATAATTGTACTAGATGAATGAGTCCATTGCACAGCTCTCCAAATAATCACCCAGGAGGGGGAAGGGGTTGGTTTTTGTTTGTTTGTTGTTACAATTAAAAAGATTTTAAAAATCAAGTCTTTGTCAGTAGCTTCCCACACTTGGGATGAACCTCTTCTCACCATAAGTTAGGAAGGTATTATTCCTTAAATCTCATCTCAGTATAAATGAGGTTTCCCATTTCAAAGGCACAGATAGGGAGCTCTAGGAGGTCTCTGCTTCCCACAGTTTTTAGCCTCCCTCCACAACTCGGGTTCAGAAGTACAGATACTGAACTAGCCCACACAGAACATCGTGGAGTGGTCTTGAAAGCATTGCATGGAGTTCCTTCCTTATCCTCCTTCCAGGCATTCAGCATATATGTTGCTATCAACAAGTGCTTGCCAGCACATACAAGTGCGGTGCTTAAGCTCAAAAGGCACCCATACATCACATTCATATGATAGCTGGAGTCCTGTGAAGGAAGATGAACCATTCAGCTTGCTTGCTGGGGGCAAGATTTGGCCCTTGGTATCTTATTAAAGTGTAAATAAATAATTGAAATCCTATGGATTTGCTGTCCACTCCACTTTCTGCTAGAATCTCTCTCTGAAGTGTGTTTTCTATAGTCTAATGGATGAATGTTTAAGAACAGAGTAAAATTGTTACAATATGCATACCAAGAATAACGTAACAAGATGTTATTTTTAAACAATGTGCCAAAAAAGACCCCCCCAAAAATCCATCTGGGCTACAACAACAAATAATTGAGAAGTGCCTGTAAAAGTTATGTGTATATTTTTATATCAATTGAGCCTAGCCAGCATATATACAATTCCTAGAATTTATGGTTTAAGCCAGCCTGCAGAGCTCAGTGTAGGTCTGTAGTATATGTAGCTGCTATGGTGATTTAAATAAAATAAATAAAACAGATAAATATGTAGCATATTAGAAATTCATTACTGGCAGTCTTTCAAATGCAGCTCAGCTTCAACGTGTGGCCTCTGTAATGTTTCATAATGAAAATAGCAAAACGGACCTCCTAGAACATGGAACAGGCTTTTTGGAGGGGGTGAGGTTATGTAATGGCCTGACTCTGCCTTGTCAATAAGCACAGTGCAGCATACTGGAAAAAAGTCAAATATGCATGTTCCACAAATCCTTGATATGTGGAAGATGAGTGATCTGGCAGAAGTCTAACATGGGATATAAAACATGGTGTATCTTTAAATAATCAGTCTCCCAAGAGTTAATAATAAGAAAGAAATTACAACTTTATGTAGCAACTAAAGTAGAAAAGAACATTGCTGATTTCACACTTAAGGGCCCAAATAATTAAAAACAGGGTACATCTTACCAAACCCCTTACTTCTGATCCAGTTCTCTGCACTGACTGTGTATTTTCTAACGTTGTGACCACTTCAGGAGGCAGATAGTCCTTGTCTTACCCTTTTGAATGCAGTCTCTTCCGCAGTTTCAGAAGTCTCCGCAATAGTGGTTGACATCCTCCCCAGTATGCCTGGTTCTTGCTGAATAAGATCCCCTGTTTTCTTTCCTCTTTCTCCTCTTAACATTCTTCCCCTGCAAAATTCATCCCTTTTCTGAAATGTCAGAGGTTGCACTTGTCTGTAGAAGTTCTTCCAGGCAGGACTGAAATGAACCCCCCACCCCTTTTATTCCTTTAGCCCCGCAAGACAGTGGAAGGAGCCTGGTCAGCAGAAGGAAAAATGAAAAGGCTACCTTTCCTCTACCCTCATCAAACTCTTCTGAGGGTTGGAAGTGAAGCAGTTTGTCAGGCTGATCTTCAAAGTTGTACTTTAGAGGGGAGGAAGAAAGTGGAAAGCAGACTGAAGGCTAGAGGAGAGGTTTCTCTCCTCCCCCCCTGGGCCCCTTGTCGGCTGTTTTTATTGATTTCAATCACTGGAGGCTTGAGCTCTCCGGAGAAACACTGTGTAATGTGTTCTTTCCTGGCTTTCATTAAAGAAACTCAATGCAGCGCGGTCACGCTGCCGAGCCTGCCTGGCAACCTGCCTACTCCGCGCGGGCCTTTCATTGGAGGCAGCGAGCTCTTGGGTTTCTCTCCAGCGAGGATTTCAAACCATCTCCGTCTGCCTCTACCTTCCCTAAGCCTCCAGCCCTTCCAGACTCGGGGACATTTTCTCTGTCCCTGAAAAGGGACGCCTTTGCCGCTGCGGCTATAAGATCTGTATCCTCTGGTGTCTGTTCAATGTGCCCTTAACAATCTTGGAAACCTTCTGTTCATTTATTCTGGGGGGAAGGGAGGCAGCACTTTTATAAACTGAAGTACATAGAAGGAGGTAAAAGTGATTTCTTCACTTTTCTAACCCTGCTCTGTCTTCTGCTGCATATGCTGTTTCACCCGATTGATTGGTACAGTTTAGAGGGGCTGGACCTGATGGTCTGTAAGGTCCCTTCCAGCCCCTAACAACAATGAAACTATGAAACCAGGGACAGGGGATAAGTGAAGCAGGATGGCAGATGCATACATACACATTCCTTTTAGTGCTGCAGTGACAGGCTGAGCAGAATGACATTGGCAGGACCGCATAGGCTGGGAGGGTGTCAGTCAAGATAATGACACCCAAGGATAACTGGAAGTAGTTGAGATGAAATACAGACTTACGTTTCTGAACTGGATCTGTTATCATACATATAATTTTACAGGGGTACGTATTTTAGAAAGTGGAATTTAACTAACGTAATAGTTTCTGTAAATATTTTCCTTCTGTATGCACTTAAACTCTTCTATTTAATTTACATTTACTGAATTGTTTACTTTTTCCTTGTTCAGTAATTCTTACTGTTAACATGTTACGTATTCTGCAGAAGCATGTGTGTACATGGATGAAATAGTAGAAGGACCCAACAGCTTTTAGTTGACTGCAGACTTATGCCAGTAAAGTTGCATGCATCCCAAATCAAATTTTAATTGCAGTTGGTAACAGACACATGTATTTCTTAAACAGATACAGTATCTCTCCATGGGTCACATGCACTTTTTTTCCCATTTACACATATACAATAGCAGAAAGAATCCTTTCCTGGATCAGAAAGCTACAAAAGCTTGTTCTTATTTAAATCTGGCTTTCTGCAGAACTTGTTTGAGGTTTTTCTGCATCAGTTGTGTCTATAGAAACCTTTCCAAATCGGCTTATTGTAATTTTTCCCAGTGTATATATTACCAAGAGTTGTAAGTTTATAAGAACAAGTTCGCTCTTATGAAAGGTATTTGTTGTGTGCTGTATCATTTTAAAGCATTTTTGGTTAGTTCTCCAGATGCCTTTTGGACACTTTTTATATTATTGGATTTTTTAGCAATATTTTTATTGGCCTAACATATAATAAAAATCAAGTTACTTTATGTAAAATGTCTATCTGATGAAAGGAGTACATTGCTGGAAAAAAATGTGACTTTGATTTCAGGTCTGCTTTCTGTATCTTAATGAAACTTAAAATGCTCGTTATGCTTATAATTCCTCTGTTCATAAGGTGGAAACCTATAGAAAATAATAGTTTAAATAATTTAATATGGCTGTGAATTCTTTTATATGGGTTGTGTAGTCATAGTTACTGTGCATTTTTTGGCCAAGGCTCAATTAGTAAATCATCTGTTAACTTTTATTTTATAAATCTTGTTTCTGAGAGTTGTATAACTCAGCCCTGTTTCCTTGCAGCTTTAAATTACATTAATAGGTTTGGACTCTGTTATTGTTTTAAGTGGGAAAGTGGTACATGAGTGGGAGAGAAAATTGAGTGTTCAGGGGAAAGTGTTTATTTTTTGTAATGAAATTCTTTATATTATTGGAAAAACAAGGCAATACAGTGCATCCAATCTTTCTTTTTGGGGAACCTAAGGTGTCATATCCCCATATATTTCTGGGCATTGTACAGTTTATTGACCTGATCTTCTGTAGTTTTTATTCTCTCTTTTCTCCTCATTTTTGCTCTTTCACTCCTCTTTTATCTTCTGTAGTAATGCTAGAAGAAATAGGTTCAAAGTCTGTTGGCTTGAACAGAAATGGATCTTTGTATACCTGCAGTGAGCTGGACTCCCGCCCTTTCTCCTGCCATTTTGTGTTACTCTTTTCCATCTTTCAGTATTATGAGTGTGGCTTCTCTCCTTTGCACTTTTCTTCCACCACCTTGTTCTTGCTCATTCTTTGTAGTTATTTCCAATAACATCCAGGTAACCAAATTGCAGCCAGGGGCCCACAAGCCTTTCTCTCGCATCCAAATAGATCTCTGACACAGACCTCCACATAGCAGTCGAAATTACGTCCCTGCCACAGTGGGGAAGCCAAGCGTGTAGTCATTTGCCTGTTTGTGCCTATTATTGCCATGTGTTGGCAAGCAGAATGACCCCCTATCCGTAAGAAGGGATACAAATTCAGGACAGTTGTGACCCTGGCCCAAATTTTAACACCTTTGCAGACCACGTGAATGAAAATGAGATTCCCCTGCTAAGACCATCGTGTAGAGATCATGATTCCAGTAAAGTTCATCGTATGCTGGCAACAAAGCAGTGAGGGAGATGGGAAGCCTTATAAATGGTGAGCTAAAATGAGAGACACGAGCCTCTAAAATACTATTCCCTGAATATCAAAAATACCAAAAGTCAAATGGCCTGGGACCTCAGGTTAACTGAAATTCTGGAAATTCAGAGATGGATAATAGAAAAATCTAGTTTAAAAACAAATTTCAAACTTCTCTCTCCTGGAAACCTGGCACTATTAAGCATAAGGATACATTTACTAAAGTTGCTTTCATTTTACTACATTACTGGCAGACCATATATGATGGGTATATGAGCAGATAGCCACTTTTTAAGCTCCTCCTGCTCACTACAGTCTATCTAGAATTGTTCTTATTGCCGGAGATTATTACTGAACCCCTTCAGTGAGGTGAGCCATGGACACACAATTTTAAATTTTACTTTTTCCCATTACCTTCTATTTCCTTTCACTGAAATTTGTAGTCCTGGTGATTATATTTAAACCCCTGTAGGATCTGCAAAGTGACTGTTGGAAATACCTCTAATTTAAACCCCACCTCCCCAGTTGAGAGGGACTGGGAGGCTCTTGCTGATGTTTTTTGGTTTTGAAGAGAGGTAGTTAACCATGTTAGTCTGAAGTCAGGCAGAAGAGTTGTAAAAACACACTGACAGGCAGCAGAGTTCCCTTGGTTGTGGAGTCTGATCTGAGACTGATTCTCCTTGAAGGTCCATCAGAAACCAAGTCAAAGCAGATGCACTTTAAAAAGGATGTGGAGAGGGTTGAGAGAGTCCAGAGCAGAGCCACATGCATGATCAGAGGGCAGGAGAACAGGCCTTAAGATGAGAGTCTGAGAGTCTGGTGCAGGACTCTTCAGCCTGGAGAAGCGAGGGCTCAGGGGGGACGTGGTGGCAGCCTATAAGTGCATCAGGGGTGTGCATCAGGATCTGGGGGAACGCCTGTTCACCAGGGCACTCCAAGGGAAGACAAGGTCTAGAGGTCACAAACTGCTGGAAGACTGGTTTAGACTGGACAGAAGGAAAAGCTTCTTTACCATCCAAGTTTTCAGAGTCTGGAAGTGGTTCAAGAGCCTACTCTGGATACCTTTATGAAATGCTTGGATGCTCATCTTGCTGGGGTGATCTGACCCCAGCTGACTTCCTGCCCCTTGAACAGGGGGCTGGACCCAATGATCTCACGAGGTCCCTTCCAGCCCTAATGTCTATGAATCTATTAATCTTTTTTTTTTTTGTTTCTTTCTGTTACTCTTGGTGACAGGATGTGTTTTGCTTTATATTATTTTCTCTTTAAATATGGGAGAGTTCTTAGCTTTGATAGCAATGGCTATTTTAAAAAAAACAACCTCTATTAAGGAAGCAGAATTGTGGATGTATTCATTTTTTGGTTTATATTTATGACACTTCTCCAGTATAGGTTCTTGTGTTTCTTCTTCCCCTTTCTGAGTGTGCATCATATAATCCACTTCAATTTTTAAGCCATTTTCAGTGAGATTACTGTGAAGTTTAGTTTGATGCAAAGATATGCACGTAGCCCTAGAAACGAGATTCTTTCATAGAAAAATAGAAAGTGATGTGACACAAAGAATGTTATTATTTGAGTCTCCTTCCCAACACTTGCAGTTAGTATTCCTCAGCGTTGTCCTCGAACAGCCATCTCTAAGGGATGAGGGAATTCAGTGGTGCCTTTGCCTCTTCGCAGGCAGCCAAGAACAATCTCAGTTGCAATGTAAATATCTGTCATCTGGAAACCAAACTGAAGCCACCATCTCATGTCACAGCCCATTCAATTGCTATTGAAGTATAAAGTATTTTTATTTGTTTAATTTTTCAGACCTGTTTCAAATTGGAATCAATGACCTAGAGGAAAAATGGTTCAAGGTGCCAGTCGTTGGGTCCCAAGCTAGCCAGCCTTCACCATTTATTGGTGTCTCTCTATTTACAGTGTTTTCACGTTCACCTACAAAGTTTAGCGTCGTCACGTTCTGCAGATCGAACCAGTTTCTGAAATAATATAAGTGACTAGGCAGAGAGTGCATGATATAACCCAGGCTCAACACTCATTTTATTACTGATATTTTCCCAGTACCTTAATTTTGAAAAGCATCCTGTCACTATATTATTATTACCTAGAAATATTGCACAGAAGTTAAAACTTTTTATGTGATTTCTGAGAAGCACTTTGCCATGTATCCATCCCTGAAGCAAAACAAGCTTTGAATAGTACAGAGAAGCACCATCCAGCAACTTAGAGCAGAAAAGAAGTACCTTATTTACGCAAATCCCAGGCACTTCATATTTAAGATAACACCCCCCATTAGATTCTATACATAGCAAGTTATAAATGTGTTTTCATTTTTCATGTAAAGAATCTAATTAGTGGAAAGTCATCTTAAATTTGTCCACCCCCCTGCTGTGGCACAGAAAGCAGCTGTGGAGGGGGAGGGACCGGACACTTTCCCCTCCCCACCGCCACTGCCCCCGTCCCCAGTGCCTGCCCATCCTGCTGTCTTCTCCTACCTGTTGCCCCCTATGCCTTTGCCTGCCCCCCCACCTCCTGCTCCCCCTCTGGAATCTGCCCCCATGCCATTTCCCCCACACCTGTTCTTGACCCCTGCTGCCTGCCCCACCTTCTCCCACCACTTAGGGGCTCTGAGGCAGTCAACAGCAACTGTGGCCCCAGCCCTGCCCAGCTGGGGAGAAATGGTGGCAGCTCTAACTGGGCCAGTTTGGGGCTGGAGGGACTGAAACAGGAAGTAAGGAGGGGTGGGAGGAGCTGGGGGCTATGCA